GCAAAAAAATTAACCTGAAAACCTTTAGCACCATTCCACTCCAGTCCCTTTATCATATCTTCTATACCGTTTCGGTTACAAATTAGATCTTGATCTCCGCTATTGAAATTCAGATGAATAAAACAATTAAAACAAATAGTAATATGAAATGTAGCATAATGTAAAATATTATGCATATAACATACGTGTACAACAAAACATCAATTTGTTTTAGAATAGAAGGCAATAACTATTTATTATATATATATATATATAATGTATTTAATATTTATTTAAATTATAATTAAATACAAGAAACCCATTTACGTACCTGAACCGAAGGTGGACTTGGATCATTATTAAAGCCACGACCTACACCACTATTACATTCTATCCAGCCAATTTGTTGAGCACCAGCATGAATAGCTCCGATAACATCAGAACGCTAGAAAACCATAAATAGTTACCAGAATTGAATTTAGTAGCTAAATATTAGAATAAAACTATTTATTGTAGATTGCTTAGTTACCCGCAAGTATGTGGAAACAGTATCAAGTTCATAAGGCCATGACATTCCACATGATGGATATGAATCAGAATGGTCTCGAATGTCATATTGATTTATGCAAGTTTCTTTTTTTCCAACGCTAGAGAAAAAAAAAAATTAAAATATTCAGCATGTACAAAAACAATCAAGCAATAAAACAAAGAACAATAAATACCGATTACGCGAACTTTTCAAAATCAATAGAAGAATTTGTTCACACACATCTAAATGAATTCTGACCTTTTCTTTTTGAGATTTCATGCAAATATCAAGCTGATTCTTGGCAAGAGTCTGTACATAATAAAACATAAAGTCATTGCAATTCCCAATTTAACCAAAACACTAAATTCATCATATACCTTATGTTCTTCATCTAAGAGATTATGTTCTATAGCAAAGGTATAATATGCATTGTACTAACATTATGCTTATAGTTAGGGAAAAAATCACAAATAATTATAAAAAACTAACAATATACAATATATATACATCATACTTGTGCGATAGGGTCGATCCATCCATTACCAATAGCTATTCCTTTGAGATTGTACTTAATATTACAATAAATTTGCATTAATAGAAGCAAGACAAATACGAATATAAATAGACATCTAAGATAGGAACTTTCTTACTCTTAGATTAATGGAACTTTTTCTTTCACTATTACGCTTTAAGACTGCTGAAGCTATATAAGGTATAAATGTACCCGCAAAACTTTCACCGGCAAGATACATCTTGAGTTTATGAAGCAAAAATGTAAGAATTCAATTATTATTATAATTAATTAATAGAAGAATACTTTTAACATACCTCATCTTTAGCATATTCAGGAAATATTTCAAAAAATTTATCAAGGAATAGTAAAAATTGTCCAGGAACCTAAAGAAGAAAAGAGATTATTATTTGCGCATCAATTATAAACTAATGACGGTAATAATAGTATTCTAACCTGTGTTACGTTATTTAAATAACTATTACTATTCGCAAAACTGAAGCCTGTCCCAATAGGCTGATCAACTATAAAATAAATCGGATTTGTTGTAATAAAAAAACCAGTTAACTCGCGAAATTGATTAAATTATAATTACCATAAAGCACATTAGCATACTCGTTCCATGCACCATCAATCAAGCTTAATCCCTGGTTATTATTTATTCTCCAGGGACCAGATTCAAGAAACACACCATCCATGCTTTAAAATTAAATTTAATAATTAAATTTAGTAATTAATTTAGTAATTTAGTTTAATAAATACTAAATTCCAGCGACAAAAAAATCAAATAAACAATTAATTACCTCGAACTAAATGATTCAATATCAAATGAGTTGTGTATTAATATATAATTTCAGAAATTTTGTGTTAATATATGATTGTTATAATAGTTGGGTATTGATGTATGATTAAATTTCTTGATATATCATTATTTAACTAACCATCCGGGTCCTATAAATCAAAAATAGTAATTTATTAATTTCGAACTAAATTTTGAATTTTATGAATATATTATACAATTTAATCTAAAAACTTACCACCATTAAGCCATATAATCTAACAAGAATTCCGGTTTTGAAATAAGTTTATGTACACATTGTTTAATCAGAAAAAAAAAAGATCCATCCAATTAACTTACTAATTTTGGTTTGTCGGCAATATGACGATTGTGCATTAACCAAAAGAATATGTTAGAATTAGTTTTTTCGTCAATTGTGATATGTCTATAATGATAATTATTAGAAATTTGTTAATCTCATTTAAAAAAAAAAAAAAGAAAAAAAGAGAACTTACCCAGCATGCATTTTGAGCTCTGCATGATCAGGAAGACCGGGTAAATAGCGCACAAAGTAGTCGGAAGATGAAGGAGCTAGTAGATTTGGATTAAATATATAAAAACAACAAAAACTTTATTAATTAAGGTTTTAAGAAACAGATCGTTAAAGTAGGAGCCTTAATACCAACCACCGGCCGCATTTGTGATTTTAATGACGGCAGAGAAGACAAGCCCTAACTTTAAGACTAAAGACTTCAAATTATGCTCCATACTTAAAGACAATCTAAGTTTTTAAAGGAGAGAATTGAAAGAATATTTCGTCTACGTTTTACATGCGAACATTCAGTAACGGCAACTTTTAATTAATTATTGTGTAACAGATCCACAGCAAATGACAGAATCTGTTATAATTACCAGAATTGAAATGAAACAAATACATAAATACTCGATTTGGTAAAGAATTAAATTATGGAGTATTATTGTTGTTAACTGAGAATAGAAATTATCCCATGTAAAACCCGTATTTTGACAACTTCAATACACTTACTTTTTGACAGTAGAAAATTTTACATCAAAAAACTTCAACAATATATATATACTGTATATTGGAAACTTGAACGAAGCATGCGAATCTCCGAAATCAATGTCTGGAGTTTGAAACCAGTTTCATATGTTAACCCGGTTTATAAAAATAATTTCTTCTGTTACTGTATTTACTGTATATATTGATCAAACAAAATAACAGTATTTTAAATACTATATATCTAACATTCATATCTGTTTAGTACAAAATATCTAGTAGCGCCAAATTTTTTAAAAAGTTATATATATATATATATTATGTAAAAGTAGTCAACTAATCAGAATATTATTATTACTGTATAATAAATTCTAGTAGATATTATTTAATAGATTTTCTATGTAGATTCAAAACTGCTTAGTTTCAAAAACCTGCAGATTCAAAAATTTACATTCTATATAATTTGGAATAAATTAAGCATAAATTTGGAGTTTGGTACTAATTTGAGATTTTGTTTTAGGGATTTGGGATTTGGAATTGGTTTCATGGGTTTGAATTTGGGCGGTGAGTATACAAATCCAAAAAGGGTTATACAAGAGTCAAGTAAAGACGTATTAGTGATCCAAGCTGATTAAATTTTTACGGCTAGGCTAAGCCATTACAGCATTAGATTTTTAATGGCTTAGCGGCTTAGCCAACAATATATGTCATACTAAATCATGGGATGTCTATATTAGAGACTATACCCGGGTAGACATTTTTATTATATAATTATAATAAATTATCCGGATAACCGGGTAATTTAATAATACCCGGGTAGAGATTTTTTTGACGGGTACAATCTCTAGTATCTAGTAAATATAATATATCTGATATGATGTAAATACTTTACAATAACATTCAATTAAAAATAAATAACTTTTTAGATTCAGGTTTAAATATTTTTATACTTTAGAATTCTAAATACAATTAAATTCTTGAAAATAAAATTAAATTCTTGGAAACAGATAAGTATTCAATTGAATAGAGACGTGTTACCAAAGCTTATAAATGTTATACATCAAAAATTTCAGTGCTGAGTTTAATTAAGGTATGTATTAGTGGCGTTATAATTATTTTGATCTGATGCAAATTTTAATTCGACGTAAGATTTAAGTTTGTCTTGATGATACTATCAGCTATATAAATTTTAATTATACGGCTTTGAATTTTGTAATTAACATCATTAACCGGCCGATCAGACTAAGTGGCTAAGCGGCTAACTTAATCAGCTTGGAACATTATTTTTAAACCTGTTGTTTTTTTATAATTATACTGATTAAAAAATTTCATAAGGAAATTTCTAATAATAACAGGAATACTCAATATAAAAATGAAGATCGGTAAGCTGATTATTAACTAATTAATCGAATTAGGTAAATAACAGAAATATATAAATAAATATATATATGTATAAATGTATATATAACAATAAGAAAATAAAAATAAAATAAAATTTCAAGCCCATAGTAGTGTTTGAATTGGTTGCACAAGATGTACAGGTGCAAGAATATTTTTAATGTGCAAGTATTTTGTAAAAAATTTACGCAAATACAAGCAAATCTTTAATAACTGATAAAGAAGTTGTACAAATTTTATATGATATATACAGCAAGCAAAAAAAATTTTATTTGCTTCAATTGTGCAAGTAATTTTTTGCTTCAATTGTGCAAGTAATTTTTCTCCTGAATTTTAAACAATGGTTCGTAAGTATATCTATAGCAGACGTGCAATTAATTTACAAAATTAATATAGTTAATTGTCGTAAAAACCGTAAATCGTAATGCCTTAATACGGAGGTATCGCATGCTGTAAAAGTAAGACTAAAAGAGACGTAATAATGATTGTGAAGACACATTAATGTTTTCGTAAGATAATTAAGGAGAAATATGTACGTAGTATTTGGCATATTTGATTTATGCCGAAAGAAGCCTATAAACTATGTTCTTTGAATATTTATTTTTAACAAAATTGCTATATGGTGCATCGTGCATTTGGTGCACCCCCTCTATATCACTGTTGTGCTACTAACAAAAAATGTTCCTCACGAAAGTTTACCCTAAACTTCCTCCTAACCCCAACCCTAATCTTTATTATATAGTACTCTAATATTGTGCTTATTGGCAATTAGAGGGGCACCAAATGCACAGGTGCACCATATTAGAGTGTCCAGAAATCTGCGGTGGCAGAATCTGCGCAGAATTCTGCTCTTGTCCTGCTCGCCGAATTATAATCTATTGGTGGATACAGTCTATTGTGTTTAAAATTAGGTTTTCTTTTTGTTTGATTTTTTTCTGATTTGTTTTTAAAATATTATTTATACGTCACCGTAGAATCTGCAAATTTAACGGGAATCTCAGCAGAATTTTTCAGTTAGAGCAGCAGAATTCTGGACACTCTACACCATATATATTTTTCCTAATGTACATACTTAATAGTTATCAGGTAGGCACTGCCTGATAACGGATTATATCCGGTAACTTATGACGATGGTCTGCCCAACTATGTAGTTTCTGCCGAATAATAAATTTATTGGGCAGACGAATCATAATAAGCTGTCGGATAAATATTAAGTATTTGAATCTGAAGATAAATGCATTTTAAAATATTTATTACATTTAAACGTAACCAGATTCATATTACAATGATCAAATAAAATTCTTTGAATAATTCGATTCGTAAGCTCTCAAGATTAAGCAGCGATTACGTATCGATACTAGGTGGGTTACTTCCCCAACAAATCACTTCCTCCGTGAACCTAGTATCCCCTAAAAAAAAAGTTACGTATCTGAACTTAATTTTAAAATGCTGCTTTAATTGTACATAGTAACAATTATGACGACTATTATGTTTTTTTTTTTAAATCAAAATGCACCTTTTCTTTTCGTTTTATTAATTATACATTATCAAATGAATCACAAGTTGCCGGTCATTTAGAATACGTGAAGATTTTCCTAAGGAAAAAGGTTGTTGTAATAAATGCTTAGAATGGGCAAGGGCAAATTCAAAATTACGATATGAAAAAAAAAACGAATAAAAATTTTTAATACAAAAAAAAAAAAATTCTATACTTTCAAGTAATTTAATACAAACTATCTACGATTCTTTAATTTCAATACCGGAAATTTATAAAGCTTAGAGGGTAATGTATTCTTTAAGTGTTGTGTTAATTTTATGGAACTTTTAGATTTTCCAAAAAAAAAAAAAAATTTATCCGAATGTTCTATTGCAAATGATCTTATTAAAAATGTTCAGGGTATATATAAATACCATTTATGATTTAATAATTTTAATGCTATACAAAAAATATCAACAAGGTTTTATATAGGTAAATGCTTTATTTCAAGTTGCCTTACTTCCTCAGCAAAAAAAAAGGCTAGCTATTGAATCAAATTTAAATCGATCGATTGAACAAATGGTTAATGATCTAAAAGGGCTTGAGAATGCAAAAAAACATGGATAGGAAAAAAACAAAAATACATTTTATTGGAAATAATATAATGTAGTTTTTTTTTCGATTACAATTAATATAATAAATAATTTGGGTGGATAATTTACTTAATTAATTGAAATAATTAATATGTATATCTGACGGACTTTTTCGTTTTTTGTAATTTTGAAAATGAACTTCTGTTTGGAAAAATTTAAATTCAGATACGTAACTTTTTTTAGGGGTATATTACTTTCTCGACAAAATTACCCCCCCGACACAATTATTTTCCCGACACAATCAATTACCCGGCATTTATCTAATGCTTGACAAAATCAAACAAAACTAGTTTCTCAGGTTTTTTTTGTATGTTGGATATAAAATCTATTTTTAGTAAATCTACAGGCATCTGACTTTAAACTTCGTTGAATGCAATCGAACTATTTATTTATATTCTCTGTTCTATTAATCCCACTAACCTAGTAATTTATTATGACCTCATTATACTAAAATACAAATATGCTCGCGGCTAGGCATGAAAATTTTTCAAAATGATGTTTTGATACAACAATATAAATCAACTAATGAACTAATCAAAAAAACTAATTTATTGTTGTAACTTTTGTATTAGACTAAACATTAAATGTCCTCTGTAGTTAAAGTTTGTATTTTATTTATGATATTTTTCCTATATAAAAAACAAAAATGGACTCGGAACACTTTTAATCCTGGTTACAATTATCGACATGGTATTGGTGTTTATTGTTAAGAAAGACGAAAAGAGCTTTTGAATATTATATGAAAGAAACTCGATTAGGAAATCTGAATGCAATTAATAGTGAGTGTTATTATTATATGAATTAGATGAAAAGAAATTACCAGAAAGCATTTGAATATTGTAAGAATCTGCTTATTTGGATCATGCTAACGGAATATATATTCCTTATTATAAAAGTGGATTGGGGTTGATCAAGATTACAATAAAGCATTCGAATACACTGCAAGAGCTGCTAACATGGTTCACAAAATATACCATCAGATCGTATTAATCCTGAACTTAAGAGAGTATTAGACGATGAGAGATTTAAATTATCTCGGATTGATTATGATAAGTTCAGAAATATCAAGAAATGAGGAAAAGCAACTGTATATTGGGCAAATTGGCTCGATAGAATTAATAATACGCATTGTGATGTTGCACATAAAGTGATTCATGATTCAAACAAAAATTTGCAAGAATTGAAGAATTATTGCTACAAGTATCCTTCGTTCTTGAACTGT